TCTGTTTTACAGAACATTGCATGTTGGAACATGAAATAAAGCTCTTGAAAATAGAGGGTTTCAAAGTTGGAGCGTATTTTTGCAGAGCATCCAATAAACATGGGGGGGCTGCTATTCTTGCTGATGAAACATGGGAAACAAAGCCACTCCAGAACATAATGAGTTGTTCAGTTGAGAGACATTGTGAAATTTGTGCTCTGGAATTTCTAAAACTGGATATAATTATTATTGTAGTCTATCGTCCGCCAAATGGAAATTTTAATGTGTTTGTAGATGTCATTAATGTTGTTTTAAATCATATATTTAGTTTAAAAAAATATGTCATTATTACAGGCGATTTTAACATACACTTTGAAAGGGATTATAATGAAAAAAATTGTTTCTTGGATGTTGTCAGGTCATACGATTTTGCGCAGCAAATCTTTACTAGCACTAGGTTAGATCACTGTATTGATAATCTGTTTTTAAATTTTAGCTACCTGAATAATTTTAAATCAAATGTTTTTAACCCTGTATTGTCAGATCACTCTGCTATAGAGTTTCTTTGGAATGTCAACTTTTTAATTGAAAAACCATACAAACCAAAAACAAATAGTATTTGCCGTCCCATAACCAATCGAGGAAAATTTCTCTTTTACAATATGCTTGAAGGGGAAACCTGGGGGTTTTTAAATTGTGATATTTCTGTAAATGATAAATGTAATCAGTTTTTTGATAGGTTTTTAGCTATGAGAGGTGTTGCATTCCCTGAAGTTCAGCGACGCTCTGAAAAATCCTCGGCAGATGGGGTACAGTGGTTTACCCCACAGCTTCAGGTGATGAGGCATGAAATACAGGTGCTGAATGATATGTGTCAGGAATCTTACTGTCCACTGCTGCGTAGTGAGTTGAGGGCATCAAGGCGTATCTATAGGGGGGCAATTGTGGAGGCAAAGAAGTCTGCAAATTCAAATTACATTAGGAATGCAGATAACACTGCAAAAGCATCTTGGGATGTTATCAATGCTAGCAGAGAGAAATCTAAATCAATTGTCCCGGATATTCAACCAAATGAGTTTAACGACTTCTTTGCTGACATTGCGGACAGGTTAGTTAATTCCCTGCCGCGGGCGGCTATTCCGTTTGATACTTACCTAAATATTGCCGGTACTGTGGATCCCAACCTTATCTTCTCTTTTAGACAGGTGACATATATTGACGTTAGGAATGCAATAGACTGGTTGAAGAATAAACATAGTAAAGATATTTATGACCTTAATATTACCCTTATTAAATCTATGAAGGATGTGCTGATCTCTCCTCTTACAAGGTTGTTTAATGCCTGTATTAATGACTGCACCTATCCTCATGCTTTCAAAATAAGTAAAACTGTACCAATTTTTAAGACTGGAGATCGCTGCTCTGTAAATAACTATAGACCAATTTCACTTATTCCTGTGATATCAAAAATTTTTGAATTGCTTCTTAAAAACCAGCTATGTGAATACTTTGAAACAAACAATCTCCTGTCTGCAGATCAATTTGGTTTTCGAAGGGGAAGGTCCACAGTGATGGCAGTTAACAAACTGTGCGAAGCCATAGTCGGGGGCTTTGAGGAGGGCAAGTTTGTGGGAGCCACCTTTTGCGACCTCTCCAAAGCCTTCGACTGTGTCTCGCATGGGACTCTTGTGGCCAAACTGAAGTATTATGGTGTTGCCGGGTGTGCTTGCAGTCTCATACAAAACTATCTCACAGATAGGCGACAGATAACAAGTGTCAATGGTGAGAGCTCAGAGAGTAGGGTGATGCTACATGGGGTCCCCCAAGGTTCCATACTAGGACCTTTGCTTTTCATAATCTACATAAATGATATAAAATCTGTGCTGCAGCACAGCGAGGTGACACTGTATGCGGATGATACCAGCTTCTTGGTGGCTAAGGGGGAGTTCAACGCTTTGTGTGAGGAAGCGAGCGACTGTGCCGAGAGTGTGGGTGACTGGTTTCTTGCCAATGGGCTTTCTCTCAATCAAACCAAAACCGAGAATATAACCTTTACCTTAAGACGAGATGAAGAGATCAGTAATCCTACTCAGATAAAATTTCTGGGAGTCATGCTTGACCCCAAACTTACTTTCGAGTGCCATGTAAACCATATCTCCAAGAAAATTACATCTGGAATATATGTACTTAGAAATCTGTGTAGGACCACCAATTTGAGTGTCGCTCTAATGGCCTACCATGCTCTGGTCCATTCCGTCATTTGCTATGCTCTGTTAGCCTGGGGACATTCGGCTCATGCCTCTAGAGTGTTTGGTTTGCAGCGGAGGGCAGTGAGAGTTCTGGCTCATGTCGGATATCGAGATGACCCCAAACAGTTTTATCGTGATTTTCAGATTCTAACAGTACCATCACAATACATTTATGACTGCCTATTGTACATGCACCGTAATTTGCATAATTTCGCGGCTCTGGGTGAAACACACCATCATGATACCAGACATCGCGACAATATTAGGATTAATTTTCTCAGACTAGGAACATCAAGGAATGCAACACTTTATTTTGCTCCTGTCTTTTATAATAAGTTGCCTGTCTCTGTAAGAGAGTTGACAGCTCAGCGATTCAAGTCTGTAGTTAAGAAATATTTGTTAGGCCAGATTTTTTATCATTATAGGGAATTTCTGGATAGGGATGTTGCTGCTGACTTTGATCTACTGTTGTGACACTGTGTTTTATTTAATTGTTTAATTGATAAATTAGTATCTATGATAAATGACAAATGTAAAAATTTATAAATTTGTATACATGATTATTTAATAAATTGAAATTGAAATTATGCCAAAAAATGGTAGAAACTTTAAAGTGGTGGTGTTGAATCGCTAGAATCAAACAATGGTGCAAACGATCAACCGGAACGAATAAGATACCGAACGAACCCTAATTGCGTTTTGCATTCGCCAATAAATCCAGAATTACAAAAGCTTACCCCCCCAGTCACTAGAGGCGCTGAAAACTTATAGACAGGTTCTCAACACGGCACTTACCTTTCTAAGGGGGGATGTTTTGTGGGTCATAATAGTTTTGTTACAACATTACTACATTACTTAAAATTACAAAGTAAATTACTAAAAAACATTTTATAAAAGACATACATAATGTTTCTAGGCAATCCAACGACCTGTCCAAATGGCGTCTGGTTGGCAAACAATAAACAAAAAACATATGATTTTTTTTTGGCAGGATTAAGCTAGTACTTATAACAGCGAAATTTTCTCTTTTTGGACATTGCTTCGACAATTTGACGTTTTATGCGTGAATCAAACGTCAAATTGTCGAAGCAATGTCAAAAAAGAGCGAATTTCGCGGTTATGAGCAGGGATGTGCGTCTACACCTAGACTTTCATTGTCTACTTTACGTGTAGATAATGTAGACAATGTGTCAACAATGTAGAATAATATAAATTACGTTTAATTCTAACCTCACACTTTCCTTTTTTTTAAGGCCGTGGCTAAAGTAACAGAGGTGTTACTATAATTATTAATTTAAGGTAACATCAGTTCAATGACGTCACTGATGACAACGTTACTTTAATAGGGACTATAGTAACAGAGGTGTTACTCTAATTATTTTCTTGAAGTAACGTTTTATAGTAACACCTCTGTTACTTTAGCCACGGCCTTTTTTTAATTATTTTTATTTTATTATTGGTTTTTCTGATATTTTATAATCAGTGAATGCTAATATCGAAGTAATAGTGAGAGTATAATAACTTTTGATATTCTTCTTTGAATTTTTTAAAATAAGTTATTGTATGGTTATTGTTTACGTCGCATGTAGACAATGTGTAGACAAATGCTCACGTAAACCACGTAAACAATTTGAATTGTCTACGCGTAGACAATCAATTGTTTACGTTGACAATCAGGCCTATGATGTATCATTTTCTGTTATTTTAACAGCAACGTTAAGTTGCCTGTCACTGTTTATTCTATACGTCAAAATAGAGAGAAGTATAGATGTTGAACTATAACATGGCTGTTAAAATAACAGGAGTGGATACATCATGGGCCTGATTGTCTACAGGCACATCACTGGTTATGAGTACTAGGCTTTATCAATCTGACACTTTTCTGACATCGTTGACATGTAACAACGGGTATTCTAACCTCATAAAAATTTCAAAATTCCGGCTGGTTGGAAAAAGTCACGTGGTTTGGATTCCCTTGTCCTTCACGTAAAGCAAATTCTGCAAGATGAACTCGCTAGGCAGAGTCAAAATCCCGTCGCTGATAAAGGCCTTTTTACAGTCTTCCCTGTACCCAAGACACGAGACAATGCGGACAGCCCTTCTCTGCATTGCAAACACCCTCTGCGCCCCCGTTGCATGGCCCCATACCAGGATAATACAATGTAAAATTGTCAATGCTTTCAAATTTTTTATGTATAAAAGGCTTGTGTTGCCAACATAGTTACTGCATTTTTGACTTGGAGAATTATCTTTAAAAAAAAAAACAGACTTTATATATTATTGAATCAGTTTCAGGTATTAGAATTATCTCGAAAATTATAGACAGGAAAAAGGAATAGAAAGATTCTAGATGGTGAAAATGATGCTTGCAATGATGGGTGGGCCAACGGCCAACACCCTTTTATTTGTGCATGAAAACTGAACTTAGGTAAATACGTCATATTCCAAAAACAGAAAATTACCAATCATTGGTCATTGCGATTGCAAAGGAAACTATTCTTTAATCCCAGAATAGAGATGAAAAATCATTTTTTCAATTAGTATACTACCCACTAAATTTAAAAATACTTTTTTATCGATACCTATATAAATTAAAAATGTCTAGCGTCGACTGGCAAATAACAAATATCGAAATCACCCACCAGGGATGTTGCCTGTTGCTCAAATTCAATCAATTTTCCGGCCGGTCTGTGACAATGATTGTAAACAGACCAAATAGATAATGCCGGTAGTATACAAATAAACAAATACAATAAAACAGTTATGTCTTACTCAATAAAAGTTGATAATTGCTTCTGCGTCTAAACACAAGTCCTGCCCTACCACAATACACAATACACAGTACACAGCACAATGACACTAATTGACTAGAAAAGCATGCAAAACAAACCGAGGTTGTCCAACAAACCGATCGAAAAGCTCACTACCAATCACTAGTAAAATGAGATTCGAGAATATGTTCTGTTGTAGTAACAGGACCAAACAGGTACTATAGCAACTCAAGTGCAAGTCTTGCTTCGCTGCTTCTTCTTCAGCATCTTTTGTTTTTGTGCGATGTGCGTAGGCAGCGCAAACGCAGTGTGTGGCAGTGTTCAAAGTTGATTCCACTTCCCACTCAACTTTTCACCCAACGTTGCCAATGCGAATAAAAATTATATGTAACGCTCACTTTCCGTTTTTATTTTGAGATTTTTTACATCCCTTTGAACTTTGATGACGAGATTTCCTCGGAACATTCAGGAACAGCAAACTACGGCATGTAGCCAAAAAGATTCGCGAATATTTATAGATTCAACTAACGTAAAGAAAAAGAAGGATAGCCTAGTATTTCGTATCAGCATGTCACTCGTGACGTCACTATAGATGCTAGCGTACCGATATTCCGCATGAACGCTAAATAGTAAATTTTTTTGTAAAATTTTGTTCTATTCAAAATGTATTCATCTTTTCAAGAAATAAAGGAGTAGCAACTACAACGGTTTGGGCCTTAGGTTTGGGCTATAGAGGAAATTAATTTGATGTCTGCAGAATCATTATAGACTTACCTAAACCACAAAAACTTACCTTTTTCAAGTTTTTTTTTTTCCATATTTTCCCTACAACTTTTTCGTATAGTTCACATAGTGGAAGGGAAAAACCCGGAAAATTATGTTTTCACGCTTCAAGGTCGGTCGCACACAGAAACAATAAAACTGTTTTATTCAAAAACGTTTTCGTTTCTTCCGAGAAACTTCTTATTTGCCAAGAGGATCCAATAAAGGTTTCTTGAAAAAAACAGTTCCAGTTCCAGTATATTTTATACAATAGGGTAGTGGACAATTTTTTGAAATATTTTTTTTATTAATCTCCATAACAAAATAAATAGTAATTGATGATTCTTTGATTTTAGAAAACAAAAATATACCTAAAAAAAATAAACAAATTAGTACTTATTTTAAACGCTATAATTTACCGCCCGGAAATTACGTCATAGCTGTTATGTCTTTGTCAAGGCATTCCGACATTGGGCGTGTTTGGGTTGACGCTCGGCGGAGCGAGCAGAGCGATTACGGAGTAACGTGACGTCACTAAGAGGACACCGTGTCAAGCCAAATAAACTTGTGCAAAAATGCTGGGTTGAGCGATCAGCTGATTATTGTTTATTTTTCTTGGCATATATTTTTTGTAGTCCGAGCCCGCATTTCGCATTTGCACCAGAGTTTTCTCGTTTGTTTTGCATTTTAGTCGATAATTTTCAAACAGCCTCATTTTCTTTTATATTCTGCAAAAAATGTCGTGCTACATAAACAATAAAACGGGACCTAAACACTCTGAGGCTGCCAAGTTCCCTTGGAAAAATATGTTCATTAATACCAGTGATGAGCAGTGGCGTAGCTAGGCGTCGGCGACGTCGGCGACTGCCGACGTCCTCGCGCCTAAAGCGGCCTACAGACGACATGGCAAACATACGCCAACTTCCGCATTTGTGAACATTATCGGATCGTGTGTATAGAAAACGTGCTACGAACTCCGTCCAACGTTGGCGCTGGCCGACGTTCGCCTCGGAGGCGGTACTGCCGACGTCCTCGCGCCTAAAGCGGCCTACAGACGACATGGCAAACATACGCCAACTTCCGCATTTGTGAACATTATCGGATCGTGTGTATAGAAAACGTGCTACGAACTCCGTCCAACGTTGGCGCTGGCCGACGTTCGCCTCGGAGGCGGTACTGCCGACGTCCTCGCGCCTAAAGCGGCCTACAGACGACATGGCAAACATACGCCAACTTCCGCATTTGTGAACATTATCGGATCGTGTGTATAGAAAACGTGCTACGAACTCCGGCCAACGTTGGCGCTGGCCTCGGAGGCGGTATTTCTGGCGCACATCATAGGGATCAGGTCTCGACTGGCATATATTGGCCAATGCCATTTTCTCCATACACACGAGCGTGCACATTTGTTTGTATGTTTTTGCCAAAGTAGGACCATAGTTGTGGGATTAGTTAACTTTTGGGTTTTTATGATGTCTAGCAGTGCACTTGTGGATAATAGCAACGTTGATGCAGCCGAAATCACAACTTCCAGCTCATCGGAATCCATCTTGTACCGGCATTGAGCCAATGCTGGTACAAGTTCGCTATTTTTCACACATAACCAACATTCGCCAACGCTGGCACGTCGTGTGAATGCTTTCAATTTGCGAATGATGACGAATATCCGATTGTTGGCCTCAACGTTGGTCCCAACGTTGGCTGACGTTGGCACACCGTCTGTAGCCACCTTATGGAGCCTCGCAAAAAATAGGTTATTGAACCTAAAAATTGACACTTTCCAAAATAAAACGTAGAGAACAAATAAACCTAATCCTATAGGAAACTTCTAAATATCATAGATTTCGCTAAAACATCAATTCTACTGCAAATTAACCTAGAACTCTCAAATCAGATGGTTTCTATTTTTTCGCTAGATTGTCGGAAAAAAATAAATATTTTTTACTGAATAAGTATTCTTATCAAATAGCATGCTCACTACTACTACTACTACTACTACTACTACTACTAATACCGTTGATATGCCCGGAGGCGATTTCACATAGTATACCATGTAGAGAGCATCAAGTCTATAAGCTCCGCCCCCAAGCCCAGTCCAGCTTTGGTACAGTATAAAAATGTCTGTAATGCGGTATAGAATGTAATCAGCAGTGCGCATAAAATGGGATATAGTAGGTAATCGCGTTATACGCTCGCACGAGTCGCACGCGGCACGCGTGATAACTATTTCAACCTATAAACAGAGCCTGTATTTGGGCATTCAGACTATTTTTCAAATAACTGTCACGTCAGATAGTGGCCTCAGTTATTTTTTAAATTTTGATGTCAATTTCTGCATTGCATCCCTTTTTCCTATTCCGCAAATTAGAACTGCCCTTTTTCTGTGCATTCTTGTTAAGGTTGTTATGCTGGACTTGGACAGACGGAAATTTTGCGAAAAGCTAATTTTTGTATATTCAGGGCTGAAATTTCAATATAACCTTAAAATCAAGACTTAACTAAGGTACCCTTAATGTTAAGGTGAACTTGAAATCAATTCATTCAGGTGGCTTAAGATCCACCTTAATTGATTTAAGGGAACTTTGATATACGGTGAAACTTTTATTTAGGATGACTTCGTTATTCTGTACCTTAAGGGAACATTGAAATACCGGCCCTAATAAACGTTCTCCTAACTATCCACTATATGTATCGGCACTAAGCTTTCCTATAAAACTCTTAACTTCTGCAAAATCACACTCCCCATCATTTGCATCTAATTAGAGCCTTATATTCTTGACAACTTCAGGTTGTATTTTTTTTAATTAAATCTCTTCACCTACTCTGCTCACCCATCTTGCTTTGTTTTCACTTCCAACACTCGCACACTAAATGAAAATGGATGATTGTATGCGAATCGTGGGTTCTATATAGAACCCCTGGATTCTGGATACTTTCGGAGTCAGTGGCGACGCGTGACTTGCAGTTTAGGGGGGGTAATGGGAAGATGCGACCCCCCGCTAACGCGCCGCAGGCAAATTTTTTTGTCAATTTCAAGGTCATTCACTTTTCCAGAACAATAATTTCCTTTGTGAGGAAAATAGAACAAAAAAAAAATGTATTTTCTTTGATATTATTATGTATTTTCTTTTGGGCATCGTGATTTTTCCCTTGAATTTTGGATCCTGACGCGACGCCCCTGTTCGGAGTTGTCATGCTGTCTCACTCCATTCCATCTCCTTTTGCCGAATGCCGCGTTTCTGAGAACCCGACTACAAACTATACCGTATTTGGCGCCCTAACTACATTCTATACCGCATTACAGATATTTTCAATACTGAACCAAAGCTGGGCTAGGCTTGGAGGCGGAGCTTATAGACTCGATGTTCTCTACATGGCATACTATGTAAAATGACTGCTCGGAGACATGGGCGTGAAACTCAAAAAATTCTCGCCTTCGGCGGGTATCGGGTATCCTTCGGCGGGGCTACCGGCCGGCGGCTACCCGTCCCTGCTTTTTGTCACAAGAAATCCTATGGCCACCCCACCCTACATAAAAAGGGCCTCGCAATTCGGATGTCGCCGACGTCCACGTTTGGTTTGGATACGCCACTGGTGATGAGAACTATCGAGAAAATTTAATTTAAACAATTATGCAGAATTTACTAGCTATTTGATTGTTAACATTCAAACAAAATAGCTAAAACTATCCACCTAACAAGTAGGTATCCCTGCGTTTTTATTCTCATCAAATTTTACCGATGGATCCACCATTCTATGTCGGTCAACAAAGATAGCTAACTCATCGGTGAATCCAGCGATGAGAATAAAAACGCACATAAAATGTTAAAATTCAGAATTATTTATTTATCCTATCATGGAAAATAGGTTAGGTTATATAGACAGATTAAACTGCGCATGCACGCTCCGGCTGCCCACCCCACAAACTCGGAGTTTATCGAGCTCGCTCTGAGCGCTCAAAATATGTCAAACCAAGCACAATCAAGCGTTGTCGGAGCTTCAAAAATAACGAAAAAGAGACAAAAGTGCACCGAGCGTGAACCCAAACGCGCCTATTAATAAGAGTGGGCGAGAGCGCGGTCAGTGCGTCCTTATATTTTACATGCTTCTAGAAAAAGATGCAGATAAGCTCAGTGCGCATTTATTGACAAATGGAAATCTCTCAAAAAGTGGGGTTAAGTTGAGGGTGCGCCCGACAGACTCTGATATATCTCTCTTTTTTGCACTAATGAGTAAGTGTGTGTCAAATATAGACCCATAGACAATAAAAAATAAAAAGACCTTCAAAAGTATAGCCGAAATAGGTTATACTATTACTGCGCATCCGGTTGCGCATAGCGCATTGCGGAATTTTTGGAAAGCTAGAGACAAACGAAAGATCAGTCCGATCATTCGATTCTGTTTCATCTTTCTCTGTCATACCAATTCACAAGACAAGGGCATTGCGGAATTTTTGGAAAGCTAGAGACAAACGAAAGATCAGTCCGATCATTCGATTCTGTTTCATCTTTCTCTGTCATACCAATTCACAAGACAAGGGCACCGTATGAGTTACAGAGCTTTCCTAGCTGTTTTGTAGAAACC